AAGTGTGATGTTAGATTTGACTGTTCCAAGTATGATGTTAGATTTGACTGTTCCAAGTATGATGTTAGATTTGACTGTTCCAAGTGTGATGTTAGTTTTGACTGTTCCAAGTTTGATGTTAGTTTTGACTGTTCCAAGTGTGATGTTAGATTTGACTGTTCCAAGTATGATGTTAGATTTGACTGTTCCAAGTATGATGGTAGATTTGACTGTTCCAGGTGTGGAGTCTGATTTGACTGTTCCAGGTGTGGAGTCTGACTTGACTTTTTCAAGTGTGGAGTCTGACTTGACTGTTCCAAGTGTGGAGTCTGACTTGACTGTTCCAGGTGTGGAGTCTGACTTGACATTTTCAAATGTGGAGTCTGACTTGACTGTTCCAAGTGTAGAGTCTGACTTGACTGTTCCAGGTGTGGAGTCTGACTTGACTGTTCCAAGTGTGGAGTCTGACTTGACTGTTCCAAGTGTGGAGTCTGACTTGACTTTTTCAAATGTAGAGTCTGACTTGACTGTTCCAAGTATATGTTTGGATTTTACTGTTCCACATATGGAGCAGATTTCGAATGTTCCACCGCGGTGGAACCAAACTCTGGATTTTAGTGTTATAAATCGGTAAAATTACGCTGGATCACTCGAATTTCTCACACATCTCTAATAAAACGTTTTTTTTTGTTGTTGTTGTTTTGCAGACGCATCGGTGCTGAAACTGTCTGTCCGTATTTCTCTTCAAACATTCAGATTTTAATAATATTGAAATATCTTGTAATTTCGAATACAATACAAAATTTATACAGCTCCGATAAAAAAAAAGTTAGTTATCTAGAATTTGGTTTCCTTAAATGATGGCACACCGTGTTGTGAAGTTAGAAGTTTTTTTGAAGAGATGTAAATCGGTAGGGTTTCGACTAGTTAGAATTATAATCTACCCTGTTAATAGAGTCACCAGGAGCGTGATGACAAAACCTTGTCGAAACGTCGTACATTTGCTGTTATGTTAAACTTATATTAAAGTTTTTCTTCATTACCCATTCAAGCCGTCTCCAACCATTATTAGACCCTCATTGGAAAGCCTAGCCCCCAGCATTCCCTCCATCTGACATAGTTTTTAAAATTTCTAAATTCTCTAACTTGTGACTCCCACTGCCATGTAAATTCTCTAACTTGTGACATGAAAGTGTTATTTTCGGGTTTTAATTCCACCTGGTTTAAATTTTCGCTTCTTCAAAGTTACTTCTAGTAAAGTTAGTACCCAAGTTCTGTCAAAATATTTACCTCAATATTAGTCGTAAAATACATTTTTGTTTTTTCACTCTCTAGCACATGCAGTGTTCTGTGTCTGGAGGAAGGATTAGTCCTAGTGTTTCCGAGGCTGAGCTAGCGAATCCAAGCAAGGCCTTAGAAACAGAGGTAAGGTCTCGATCACACAACTGACTTTTAATATTGTTTTATTTTGTTGTGATATCAGGTAACAAGAAACAACATAAAAGCAAAGCGACATCTTTCGTGTATTTCTTTCTATAATGAGTAAAACAAACAAGTGACTTTGATATTGATTTAACAACACAAAGGTATCTCACGCACATAAGTTCGATAAGCACGCTACTCCAGGACCGTTGGTAGAATTTTAACGTGACAACTAAGCGACACCTATTGTCGAATATTTGTCCTATCGTATTGTGGGTAATATTAGACTAGAATAATTTTTTTAAAAGGGTTTTCACGACATTCATATGTGTTATCTGAATTTTTTATCAGAGCTAAACCTGATCCAGAAGCGAATCAAAAGCTAACTTTAACAAAAGAAATGAATATGTGAAAGTGGTGAAACCTCGTTTTCAATAATCTTCATTCTAGTTCAAGTATTCATTTTCGCCTATAATTAATATATATATATATATATTTATATTATTTTTTATCTGCCATAATACCACAATTACGTCATAAATAAAGCCAATTAATCCCAGTTATTTGCACAATAGTAATTTTCAGCACACAAAATAATTCAAATATTTTTTTTAGAAACATTAATCATAAAATTAGTTAGACTTTAAAACTGCTACACAAGTTTTTGTGTTTTGTACGACATAAAATATTAAATTAAAATATATGTTACTTCTTTGGAACAATTACGAACAGGTATTAACTGATTAAATATCCTTTAAATTTTTGATACACTTACTTTGATTTTTGTCTTTCAAATCTCTGGAGTAAAAAAAATCGGTTAATCTGTTGTTTGTTGTGTTGTTATAAAATTACTAATATAATTAAATATATTAGATATAGATATATATACTAAAATAAACGTATTAAACGTACGAACATCAATCAGTTTGTTCGCGATTCGTGGCAACCACGAATTAAATTGCTCATAATAACTTAATAATCTTGTTTTTTTTACACAGATTGCAACTCTGAGGAGCCGTCTAGAGAGGAGAAACGTTAAAATATCTAAAGTTTCAGAATCGTAAGTTATATTCTTCTGTGTGTAGAGCTTCCATTCATTCTTATAGTAATGAAACTTGATTATATGTATTTTAATCTTTTTAATAACAAACAAGAGACACATTTTTCAGATGGCGCTACTTCATCTAAGATTCTTTAATCGTTACGAATGCCATGAAAACGGGAAATTCGCTTGTTTGTTTTTTGGTGCAAAACTACAAACTAGGCTACCTGCGCTCTGTCCACCATGGGAATTGAACCTCGAATTTTAGCAATGTCAGTCCTTAAATTACCGTTTTGTCCCCCCCCCCAGTGGGACAGCGGTATGTCTACGAACTTACAATGCTAGAATCCAGGTTTCGATACCCGTGGTGGGCAGAGCACAGATAGCCCACTGTG